GGATAAATAATGAGTGTATAAATTAGCATTTGTGAAACAAATATCTAAATATAAGAATATCTGAGAAAGTAACGAGCAAATATTTTGTGTAAAAAAGAGATTTTTGTGTAATATTTTAATTTTAGAATATATTTTCTGTTTAAAGGCGTCTGATTTAAAAAATTGCTAATCGTGGATAAATATTTAATAAAGCTAATCATGTTAATATTATAGTAAAATGCGGTATAGATAGGAAATATAGGCAAAGAAGTATATTAAAAATATTTGGGATGGGATACAGAAAGATGCTACTATCAAGTAATATGAAATGTATTCACCCTGTTTTGTGGGAAAAATTATACTACCATTCATTCATCACCTTAAACGAAATAGGTTGAATACATCTCATATTATTGATTTACTGGTAGTCTCGAAAATCGTCTTTCATACGAAACATAAGTAACGTAGTCGATTATTATAGGTTCATCGACAATCCCACCAAGGAAAGTGATATGGCAAAAGGTCTGGCCTTCCTTGAAATTCGCATCTGCTCTGTGACCCAAGGACACTCGTAGCAATGTGGACGAGTGATTAACGTGTCAAGCTCCCATTCTGCACTGTAACGGTTCGACTCCCGCTGAGAGTGCTGATAAGACCTATGCGAGGTCGAAACTGCAGTCCACCCTGGATGATAACAACTTTTGGGAAAGCAAAGCCATGTAAAATTCAATGGAAACGTCAGCTTTACTCATATCAATGTGGGAAAATTCTACTACCAGTCCTTCATCACCTTAAACTAAATAGGGTGAATACATCTTATATTACTGATTTACTAGCAGTCTCGAAAATCTACTTACATACTATTAAGTGAACAAATTATGGAATCACGAAAACCACATCAGTGATCAAGATATATTTTACCGAATGTAAGAAAATAAATTCAAGAGAATACAAAAATGAAATGTTATTGATAGAAGACCTAGAAAATGTGAAAAGTTTAATAAGCCAAAGGTTTTCAAAACATTATAAGGGGCATGAATTTGGCAGAAATGAATGCTTTCCATCATTTTCATCTGTTCGTTTATTAATCGCATACAAAGTGAGACGAATGATATATGATTGATTTCGCAATCTTAGGCATTCATATGTATTGCGCCCACAAAGACGAAGGTACGTGTGGTTTACACGCTTCTAAAAAGAGCAATTACCAAGGTATGGAGGGAATTTATTTATTTAAAATCACAATTTGATAATAATTCAAACCTAAGAGTCTTTGTTCAAATCTCTTAAGGTTCGAATTTTGATCAGAAATATTTATTTCAAAAAATACGTTAAAATTATTCAACGAAGCCAATAAAGTAATCGATATTATTCCCTTTGAGCAGATGCTCCATAATACTATGATCGGGAAGAATTTAAAAAGCTCAGAAGTCACTAACAATCAGCATCAGTTCTGCTTGAGATAAGCATTTCGGTTAGGCCAGGAACTGGCTCTGAGAGCGTCAGCATGCTCCGCCCACCACTACGACGGCGATTGTGGCCTTTTTGGTCGGTTGCAATAGCCAGATCTTCTTCCCCAGCAGATGCCTTTATGGCATCTACTTTGGATTGCCTTACGATATCCGAGGAAGATTCACGGAAAGGCAAGAAAAATGGCAAATCAGGCAGGTCTTGTTGGCTATGAGGTTCAAGGCTCATCTGGTTACGACGGCGTACCTCATCGGCCATAAGGAGAGTAGTAAAGTATGAGGGTGGCTGACCAGAAAGGGTGAGTAAATCGATTGACAGCTGATCAGGGGAGACGTAGCTATAAATATGAATATAAAGTAAAACGAGAAAAAGAATATGAAATAACGAAATATAGGTAGGAAAATATCATTAAGAATGGTAGCATAGGTCAAATAGTTGCGATAATTAATTCGTGTCAATTTTTTTCCTTACGCGAGGAAGGAAAAGCTGAATAAGCAATCTTAGATGTTTTTAGGACTCGATTTCAAAAGCGCACGTGTGGAATCTTCAAAAAGTCATCCAAGAGTCCACATTATAACTATAATATTTAAGTTTTGTCGAAAAATGGGAAAAACAGAACAAAATTAGGAAAGGAGCAGAAACCATAAGTCTGGGTTAGTAAGGTTTAATGACTCAAGAAGAAGCTTAGCTGGGATTGCATATCCCCGCACGTCTGTTTTAGCCGATAAGCTTGACATGTCTGCTGAACGAGTGTTAATATGGTTAGAACCATCACTCAGCTGACAAACTGAGT